CTGGATTTAACAGGAAGCCAATGAAGGAGAAATCTGCTCTCTTTCTAGTCCCTGTCAGGACTCTTGCTGCAGCATTTTGGATCAGCTGAAGTGGGACATTTTTATTTCATGCCTGGGTTCTCTGAGCATGAATGCTGAAGGTGGAGCTGAGGAGTGGAGGGCTCGCTCTGCTGGAAACCCAGAAGAAGAGACGGAGGTGTCTCCTCACCAGGATGTGCTGAGCAGCTCTGCTGTGTCTGCTCTTGGATCAGCCCCCCCTCCCCCGGCTCTCAGCCCCGCCCTTACTGGTAGCCGGGCTGGAGGATCAGCTCACGGCATCGCAGAGACTGCCGACCGGGAGAGGAAAGGATGGCGGCGGCTGTGGACCGAGGAGGACTCCGGTGGTCCACCGACACGTCAGCGGGGACCGAGGCTGCCGGGGAGCCAGACGGTCGCGGCCCGGTGCCCATGAACCTTTTCGCTACCTGGGAAATCGACCGGTCCTCCCCGAGCTGCGTGCCCAGGTAAGAGGATCGATGCCCGGGCAGAGAGGAGAGGACGACGGGCTTCTACACAGCACCTGTTTGTTCTGTGTGTGTGTAAATGTTTTCATGTGTGATCAGTAAAGATGCAGCAGGTGCGTTCAGGTGAGTCTGGGGAACTCGAGCCTCAGTGCCTGTAATTACTGATGAATGATGATCTTTATCATTTCCATGAACCTGCTCATGCAGAAGTCCAGACTTTGTTCCTGTTGTTTTAGTTTGTGTTCATTTTTAGTTTCAGTCCAGTCAGAGGTGTTTGTACAGCGTGTGACTGTGGACGCTCACAGGGATCCTTCTGCTGCTGAGAGCTGTTCTGTCTGCAGTTTGTTAAACCTGAATTGGCAGTGTGAGTCTCTCAGAGGTCTGTGGGTGTTTTATGATCGCACACACCCTGGCATTGTGCTGTATACCTTATTATTAAGACTGATGCCCTTCAACCTGCTGATGCGTGCAGGTGAAGCCCGTCCAGTTGTTTTGTCGGTGATGGTTGTAAAACACCGTGTTTGCACAATAACGTGAAACTCTCCTTTTAAACTGATCAGGTGCAACAGAAGGGAGAGCAGGGCTGTGCCTGCTGTCATTCAGCAGTTCATCCACAGGATGACAGGATGGTTTCAGACTTCCTGATGTCAACTTAAAGTCAGATCAGCTTCAGTGCTTCCTTTATTACTTCCTTTGGCAGAGGAGACACCGGAGCGTCCTTTACGCTCTCGTAAAGGATGCTCAGATCATGAATCAGATCAATCTCCTGTCGAGTTGATCTGATGTAAACTGTCGGTGGTTCAAAGTGAAGCTGCTCCTCCTCAC